AAAAATATTTCATAAATGTATTTATCATCTCAACTTTAAATAATTTTCAAGTAAATATAAACACATATTTGGCAAATTATGAGTACAACTAAGAAATGCATTAATAAAATGTCTGCTGTATTTTTATATACAAATTAACAATTAAAATGACTTTGCGGTTTGGTGGTTGTGGAAAAATAAAAGCCAATAGTTGAAATACCTTAAACACTTTTAGAAGTTTTTTTAAGGGATTAAATGCAAATTAGAATTAAAATGTGCTTAATTTTAAAATTTAAATTTTTATTTCCCTGTAGTTTTTTTAAAATCCACCAAGTCACATACTAATATCATTTATTTATGAGAATCAGTGTCACAGGACCGCACAAAATGAAAACTAACAGACTTCCTCAATTGACCTAACCACCACGCCAACCTGTCAGGTTTAATATTTTAATTTAAATCAAATTTTCTAAAAAAATATTTTTACATACTTTGTGAAAATTTTAAAGTTAGTCAAAATTTAAAATTTAAACTTTGATTTTGTGAATCGACTTGATTAATCACTAAAATTTTAATAATTGATGCAATTATAATAAACAGCTCTAGAAATTATTTTGTCGCTTTATTAATTTTAGAAAATAATTTTTTAATATTCTTATTTTATCCTGAGTAACAGACAAGGACCAAGAAAGACTGGTAGTTCAAAATGATCCAATGGTTCATAATTTTTAACCACTATTTATTAATTATTCTGCTGTAAAATGAAAGGTGGAGATCGTGTACACTTTTATGGATGCTGTAGACGACCCTGCCTTTGCCAGTGTGGCAATTTGTGATTTGTCGCCTTTTTCTGTGTCTTCCTCTCTGTTTTCTTCTCTGAGTCTCATTTTAACTTCAATTTGGAAAGCCACGCTTCGCAATTTGCAACTCGAAATCGTCGATTCATTCTGTAAGTTCTGCAGATTAGACTCATTCTTCACTTCTCCTCATTTGTGTAGTTTTCGTTACGCAATCGCCCAAGCTCTTGTTAATTTTCTCAGTTACACTTTACTGCGAATAGGGCTCAAGTGAGTTAGTTATACACAACAACACTGTTTTTTTTTTTTTTAACATTTAAAAGGAATTAGGGATATAAATTTGCATTTATTATTTGTATAATTTGCGGATATGGCTTCTCTTTTTGTTTGAGAAATGTTTTTATGTCCTTTTGTTGTTATTAGTTTTTGACGGTAAATGGTAAACAGACGAATTGAGCTATCATATCTCTTAAAATTGTAATTGAACTGCAGGTGGTATAGTTTATGTGATAGTTTTTATTTATTTATTTCTTACCTGATACTGTAGGGAAGTGCCTGTCTGCTTCTGCTGAAAATATATATAGGACATTGGTCTACTTTGTGAACTGTGGTGGAGGGATTGAAGTACAGTTATAGGTAGAGGATGGCATGTAGGGGATGCTGGGAGTGCCTTTTGAAGCTTTTGAACTTCATATTGAGCCTCACTGGTCTTGCCATAGTGGGCTATGGAATCTATCTTTTTGTTCTATTCTCTAAAGCTTCAGATGGCGAAAATCTGACGACTTCTCCTGTCAGTGATGATTCTGCTCTGATTCAACTTGGCCGACCCTTGCTTATGACTGTCTCTCTTGGCAACAGTTTTTTTGATAACCTCTCCAGTGCTTGGTATGAGTTCTGCTCTCTTGCCACTTTTTGATTTTGGGGCATTTCCAACTATGTTGATTCTTGACTTGCTAAAGGTTTTACTTTTGGTTGTATTATGGCTGCATCAATTTGTTATCTGTTATCTAGTTTCCGTAGGTTATATCAATACTGAAAAAGCTTTTTCCCCCGTCTTGGTGGAAATTTACTTTAATGGCTCGTAACAATGTAGTATTGAGTATTGCATGAAATACATAGTCATGTTAAGAAACAATTCTGCGTTGCTTTAAAAAAACTATGGGTCGAATGCATTCAGTACTTTACGATGAAGATAATAGCGTTTTGGAGCTAGAATCAACCTCATAATTATATTCTTGTGTACAGCCTCTAGTTTTAGGTTTGTGCTGCTATATATTGTTATGTTTGATTTTGGTCATGTTTAGTGAGATTTGCAAGGTGGAACTTTTGGAATGTTAGGTCAATCAAATACGGAGTTGTGGTTATGAAATAATTAGAGTTTAAGAAGGTAAAATTTAAGGCTAAGCATCTTCATTTGTTGGTGTGATTGATCCACCATGGATTATTCTTGCCATTGATTAAGAAAGAAACTTTGATCAACCTACTTTGTGAACTTTCCAGAATGGCCGGCAAAATGTGAATTTGAATTAACATTTATTTTTCAGGTGTAGTGTTTCTTTTTACTCACTAATTGTTTTTGTTCGAAAAGAAGAAAATCAGCCATAGAATATATACCACATATAGTATTTGTCCATTGTTTTTCTTCAACCATTATTATTATTATATGTTTATTTATAGAGCTTTGTGATCCCAATGCTTTACTTTTTATTCATTCTGAAGTCATGACTGATGTTACAGTTATATATGAAACTGTCCCATTTTAAACTTATAGTACAGTTAGTACACGCACACAACAGAATTACTTTTGAAGTTGACAAACACGAATCTCACTCTAATTCTTCATTTCATGTTTGCCAGGTTTATTTTTGTATTTATTGGTACTGGAGTAGTTCTCTTTCTCATTTCTTGTTTTGGTTGTATTGGAGCTGCAACACGGAATGGATGCTGCCTGAGCTGTGTATCCTTTTACAGTGTCTCATGCTATATTATAAAAATATTCCATGCTCTCTTAAATTTCCGGTCATACAAAGAAAACATTAATTTAAGTTTCTGCTCTTCTCTCCCGGTGTATATGTACGGTTACATGGATTGATCTGTGCTTATTTAAGGATCTGTTATTGAGTTTCTTAAGTCAACACAGTATTCAATTCTGGTGGTATTATTGATCTTGGTAGAGCTGGGATGTGCAGCCTTTATATTCTTCGACAAAAGCTGGAAAGAAGTAAGTAAATAGTCTGGTAATTTGTGACAGATGTTAAAATTGTATTTGTCATTTATAATTATATTTCATTCAGGAAATTCCAACAGACAAAACTGGAGATTTTGATGCGATATATGAATTTCTGAGTGAGAATTGGAATATTGTGAGATGGGTTGCTCTTGGAATTGTTATCTTTGAGGTAAGCAAGAAGTTGTATGATTGGCATTTGAAAGAAAGCCGTATTATTTTGCAGTCTTTTTTCTTTATGCCTGTACCCACGGGAGGCAGATAATTGTTTCTAGGATTCCAAGCCATCCATTTTATACAGGATTTTATTTAGATTGGGCCCATAATCAATGGAGAATAATTTAACTCTTGATGAAGATGCTGAATGTGAGATGTTGAATATGATCCATCATGTAAAGCCCATTTGATGAATCAAATTCAGCATCTCACGTTATATTTTATGATGAAATTTCAAGAAAAATGTAGAAAAAGAAAAGTTTAAAAAACGGAATGAAATCTAGAAATGGAGATCAATGTTGTTATCCATAGTGATCGATTAGTTGAGGAAAACTCATCCCTTGGAATTAGAAAATTCAAAGATAAGAATTAAGTGGTGTTCTTAAAACGACAGAGAATTTTTCTCACAGTTGTAAAACTTTGTTCACAAATGAGTTAAAAACTTCTTACACGAGTCAACAATTGACGACTTATGTTATGAACTTAAGACTACTAGGTTCATCTAACTAAATAGTCTATGGTCCAACAAGCTATCTAATAAGTCAGCTAACAAATTTGTAAATCATATAAAGGCCTAATTATACAAACATAAAAATAATTACAAAAAGCCCAACAACAAACCTATAAAATATTGCCTATATTCCTGAAGAGTTGGCTCTAAGTTAGCTGAAGCCTCCTTCCTCTTCCTTTGAGGCTTCCTAGTTCTCTGTAAAGTTATTTTTTAAACAGTGTGCCTGTGAGAAACCATACATTGTTTGTATAGATATATAATATTAGTTTTACTTTCCAAATGTACTTGAGTACCTGATTGAATATCTTATCGAATCCCCATTTACATACCACTAGAAGGAAAGGGAGGGGTCCATAGTAATGAAAGCTTTATACATGTGTGTGGGGCAATGTGCCCGTTGTTAATGTTTGCGCGACAGAAAGTTGGGTAGGAATTTTGTGTTATCTAAAGGAATGTGTATGAAATTGCAGGCTCTACTTTTCTTGTTAGCCCTTATTGTTAGGGCTGTAAATAAGCCAGCAAATTATGATAGTGATGAGGAGTTCACTAATCCGAGGCAGCCATTGCTCAACAGACCAGCACCAGCCCCAGTAACAGGGTTACCAGTTGCTGGGACTATTGACCAGCGTCCAAGCAGAAATGATGCATGGAGCACACGGATGCGGGAGAAGGTGCAATCTTTATCTCTGACTTTGACTTTATCTAATACATACATTCATACATATATATCTATCGCTATATATATATATATAGATAGATAGATAGATAGATAGATAGATAGATAGATATAGACTCTAAAGTTTTAAATCTTGATCATCCTGTCGATTTATGTTTTTAGATCTATTATTCAATTATTAATCCCATTCTCAACTGTCTATTATCGTTTGTTCTTGGAGTAATTGAAAAATGCTCATACTATCGTGCACACATTATATATTAGCTTTGTTAGATGATTATGGTGATGTATGTGGTTTTACTGTCTAACACTAGTACTGTCGTTATTCAGTATGGACTTGATACTTCGGAATTCACATACAACCCATCCGAGTCGAGCAGGTTCCAGCAAGTAAACTCACAGCCAACTGAAGAAAAGAGCCGTTGCACCATAATGTGATCTCTTTTTCTGAATTTGTGTTCACAACTCAAGCTGTACCGGTTCACTCCATGACGTGGCCAACATCATCTTCATGTTTGTGTGTAATATTGTACCTAGACGTCAAAATTTACAGTGGCGTTGCTGTAAATAAAACCCTTAAAAATGGTTTCATTCGCTTGTTTGTTGTATGTGGATTTTCTGCCCTGTGACAGTTCGATTTGGAGTTAATTAAACCACGGCATTTCTCCGTTGAACTTTCCTTGAACTACGTTACAGTGCAATATGATCGACCAATGGAGAAACCAGGGAAACTTCTGGACTCCAAAATTTGTCTAAGACACAAGAACATTTTTTGTTGCTCCTTAAAAACATGAATTGACACTCCTTTTTCATTCCGAAAACGACAATTCAGAATCTAAAACTACGTTGGTTAATCTTTTCGGAATGAAAAAAGGGCGTTAGTTGAAAATTTTGGCATGCAGGAAGTTGTGGTCAAGGCACATTTTCACTGCGTTTGGTGATCAGTTATTTCTTTTTATACGGAAATTATAATTCTAAAGACTTAGATTCTTTGGAAGGACCGACTTTAGTTTGTTCATTTAAAAATACTTTAAGCAATATTTATGAAGTTTTCTATAAATAAGAGATTAATATGTTACTTTTACTAAAAGTCGTTAATATATTATCATACTTAATGTTTTACTAAGAGTAAAGTGGTGGTATTTATGAAACCTTTACATTTGTCCTTCTTTGTAATGTTTTTATGATAAATCATAAACAAATATTCTCTAGAAACATTTCTGAAAATATCGTAATTTAAAAGATAAACCAGAAATAAAATTTACAATTTCAAATTTTGGGAAGCTAAATTCTTTTCTTGTAATTAGTTTCCTTAAGGAGTGATTGGTAAAGACCAGCTCAAATTAATGTTTTGATTAAGAGTTAATTAAATATGTTTAGAAGGCTCTGGAACGTTTTTTTAGCCCATTATTCTAAACTTCTCTTCTCCTGTTGCGTGCGTGTAATGCACAAAACAGACAATTGCTGTTCCTATATTATTATCATCAATCAACCATGCTGAATGTTTACGTTATCGGTTTTTAAATTAAATTTCGCACTAAAAATGCATCATAGGTCGATGCCATGCACAATACAATATTTATTATGCATCAAATGAAAAATCACTGACGTAACTGAAGCTACCAATCACATGGCAACAATATTTTTATTTGGTATTCGATCTACCCATTTTCTCTCAGTGCTTCTTTAATCATGTTATTGGATTCTTGCATGTAAGAAGAGGACATATGCTCCATTTTCATTAGCCCTGCAGCGGTGAAGATGTTGACTTCCTTATTTAATCTGCTTTTTAATCAGTGCTCATGAGTTGGCTCAATAACCCTTCCAACATCCCTTCAAACCTATCCAAATATTCTTTATGTCTGTTGCTAGCTGCAATCCAAACCTTAAACAAGACAAAGAACAGATGATGACGAAAGTCTAATAATGTTATTAAGGTTCAATTGGGTGTGGGGAAACATTTTGATTCTTAAATAATTTGTTTTCATCTCTTATTGTGAAGTACT